AACTGTATGTTTGATTGAATAGAATTAGTGGTTATATTTTTTATTAGGTTGCAAGTGCAAGAAGTATATAGATAGGGATCAATAAGTATATGGATATGGGCTTCCCGAGAAATTGTGCATCGGAGCATCGGAGCATCAAGGTCGTAGTAGACGGTGCATGCTCCGATTACAAGCCCATTAACGCTGGTGTTCCACAAGGCTGCGTGCTATCACCAACGCTGTTTCTTCTGCATATCAATGATATGTTGCAAACCAGTAACATTCATTGCTATGCTGACGACAGCACTGGTGATGCTTTATACACCGACCGTGCCAATATTTCTCAGGAAAACGTCGCCGAGTACCGGAACAAGCTTGTGTCTGAACTCGAGACTTTGTCGAACAAAGTCTCAGACTGGGGGCGACTAAATCTAGTTCGGTTCAATCCCCAGAAGACACCAGTTTGCGCGTTTACCGCTAAAAAGAACACCTTTGTCGTATCTTCTCAGTTTCAAGGCACTCCCCTTGTTGCCTCAGCCAGTATCGGTATCCTAGGTGTCGACATGTCGAGTGACGTGCATTTTCGTGGTCACTTGGAAGAGGAGGCCAAATTGGCCTCTAAAAAGCTTGGCGTGCTCATCAGAGCGGGACAGTATTTCATGCGGGCACACCGCTTGCAACTTTACAAGGCGCAGGTTCGGCCTCTGGAATATTGTTCCCATCTCTGGGCAGGGGCTCCCCACCTCCCCAGTGCCAGCTCCTTCCACTTGACCGCATCCAGCGCAGAGCGGTTCGATTCGTCGACGACCAAGTTCTTTCTCATCGGCTTGACTCACTGGCACTGCTTAGAGATGTCATCTCTTTGCGTATTTTATCGCATGTACCACGGGGAGTGCTCTGAGGAATTGTTCGGACTAATTCCAGCCGCTCAATTTCACCATCGCACATCGCGACAAAACTCACGGTACCATCCATATCACCTCGATGATTGGCGGTCCACCATAATGCGATTTAGAAGAAGTTTTCTCCCTCGCACAACCTCCTTGTGGAATCGATTACCACCAACGATTTTTCCGGACCGATACGACTTAGGGACCTTCAAGAAAAGAGCCTACTCCTTTTTAAAAGGCTGGCAACGCATCTGCGATTCCCCTGGTGTTGCAGATGTTCATGGGCGGCGGTAGTCACTTACCATCAGCTGGGCCGCATGCTTGTTTGTATCTCCTATAAAAAAAAGATAGTTGTGTAAGATTTAGTAAGTTAGTTTTTTCGTATAGTACTTTTGTTGGAGTTAGATAATGGCAGTGAAATAATTCTTTGATAATTTTATTATGGGTTCTTTGAAGTAGATCTAGATTAGTTTTAGCATTTTTTTTACAGTTTGCAACTTTATGTAATGCACCTAGTAATGACATCAGTTTTGATTTGACGTGATAAATATGCAGTCTCCAACTCTCCAAGTGAGTTTGTCATCTACCAATAGATCTAGATATTTTTCCAGACTTGAACGTTTTATTATTTTATCATCAATAGTAAGATGTGCAAACTCTGGTAAAGGTTTATTCTTTTTGGAAAAATCATAAATTATGTTTTTGAGGTATTAATTGTTAGTAGATTATATTTTATAACTAGGCGGCTAGGCGACAAAAAGTGCAAGATTTTTCCGTCACAACTCATGACCCCTTCTAATACCCCATTTACACTCTCACGCGAGCGACGAGGCGAGTCGCGAGGCGAGCCACGAGGCGCGAGTGTAAACGCTAGCTCGTGGCTCGCCTCGCCTCTCGAGGCGCTCGCGTCGGAGGCGGTTTTTTGGGCACGAGACAAAGGGCCTCGCGAGGGACGCGAGCGTAGTGTTTACACTCGCGTCTCGTTTCAGTTTGTATACGGCGCCCTTCCAGAATTACATTCGAATTGCTTTTGTTTTAAAATTACAATTTTAATAAAATAATATTATTTAATCTTGCATAATAGCTACTAGCAATTTATACAAAATTATGAAACTGAAAAGGTTCTGCTTCGATGAATACATATCATCCGTCATATTTTTCCTCAACGACGTATTTTTATTAATTTCGTTCTTTTTAAAATGGTCACACATCGATAAATACTTATTAAGGCAAGAGTTGATGCCGCTATTATTTCGACGTCATTCATCGTTGCTGGCTCAACGCAAACTGAACGCATCGCGAGAGTGTAAACAGGCACTCGTTACCTCGCAACAACACGCGAGCTGCGAGGCGAGGTACGAGGCGAGTCGCGAGGCGAGAGTCTAAACGAGGTATGAGGTAGTGTAGATGGCCTTGGCGGGCTATAAGGCAGCGAGATGCAATAATATCCATCTCTCTTGCACTTTTTCTTATCTTGCCATGTAAGAAATATTATTTTATATTAAATAACGCTTTGTTTTAATATACGCTAGTAATTAATTTATTTGTGTTTAATCGATAATATAATATGTTTATCACTAATAATATACTACGAAAGGAACTTCGTTCCAACCGTGTGTTCCACGACATTCACGCATGTTTTTTAGTTGTTTACTAAGTTGCGTGAGGTTTTTAAGAAACTTAAGTGTGGAATTTTATAGACAATTAAATAAAGTGGTCACTCACGATTCCGGCCACTCTTTGCTAGATGTGGTGAAGTCGAAGGCCTAATGCTGCTGGTTTTACATACATAACGGATCCTTAGATTAAAGGGAGGAACCTATGGAGGATTAGATTTATGTTCGGAATTTTCATATTCAAAGGGGGTGTATCTCAATGGTAGAGTTGTCTGCTTCGCAAGCTGAAAGTCCTGGCTTGAAATCCCAGCACCCCCAAATATTTTTTTCGTTTAACTTTAGTTTTTAACTTAAATTATCTCTACACTTTTATGTATTACATATTGTGACCCAATTTTTACATAAATATCTCTCTTTATGTTGCTTATAAAAGAAAACCTTACCGCTAACCTAGGACTTGCTCCGTAGAGGCGTTAAAATAGAGTAGAGGCGTAAATCCAGTCTCTGAACAATATTTAATACTTGCTTCGTGCGGGATTCCGGTTTCAGTTTTTTTTTTGGTTCGAATTGCGGTTTTGCGAATTTGCGGTTCGAATCGTCGACGACCGAGTTCTTTCTGATCTTTGCATTTTCTATCGAATCTACCACGGGTAGTGCTCTGAGCAATTGTTCGGATTAATTCCAACCGCCGAATTGCACGAACGCACATCGCGTCAAAATTCACGTTACCCTCCCCACCATCTGGTTGCTTGGCGGTCCAAAACTGTGCGTTTTGCTAGAAGTTTTCTTCCTCGTACAACTTCTCTGTGGAATTGTTTACCATCGGCGATTTTTCCGGACCCATACGACTTACGGACCTTCAAGAAAAGAGCTTACACCTTTCTAAAGTGCTGACAACGCATCTGCAATTCTCCTGGTGTTGTTTCGTTGAGACCGGTCGCCGGGACTAAAGAGGACAAATGTCTGCTTTGGTCCCGGCCATGAAGCAAAGTCCCGGCGTCATTCGGTCTAGAGGACTTTATTATGGTTGCTGAAAAGCAGTATAAACGTCGGAAATCAAAAATATGATAAAATGAAACAACAATAATTAAATATAACTTTTAACAAAAAATAAAAACCGGCTTTTTGCTAAAAAAGAAGTTATTTATTTGCTAATCTTATGGGTGGAATTTTTCTTCCAAATTTATATGGGACCACCTTTAAAGTATAACCTATTTCCTATTTTAATAAAAAAAATCATTAGAATCTCTTTAAACAATAGTCCAATATGAAAAGTTTACACCTATTGCATGCCTCATAACGCGATGCGTTATTAGGTAGTGCTTTACTCTCGACAAGTCAATGTCAAGTTGTCAAGCAGTTTTGTGTTCTTAAAATGCCTCTATCATAACCATATTGCACTTATACGATAATATGAGTAGTCGTATATAGAAAAAAAAAAACACTCTTATTAATCCATCTTATATTGCTACTTTGAAAAAAAGACGGTTTGTAAAAAAAATTACGTGGACACCCGGGTATTGATTTTGTATGTTTGTAGGTCACGATAACTCCTGAATTAACGTATCAAGACCGGGTTTTTTTTTTATTAGCTTCAGAATTACATCAACTGGTTCCCTATTTCATAACAATAACCCAGTAGGTACGCGTAGTTAATAAAATGATTTTCAACTTTTATTGCTATTAAAATTTTAAAGGCACTTTCATATTTTTTAGCCCTTGATAGACAAAGGACAAAATATTATGTACCATACAGCCCATATCGATTTTATACTTTGTGTAATCGATTTATCTTGGTAAACATTAAGTATTAATTTTTTTCCCTGTAAGTGACACTAGCTGTTAAAATAATAGAGCGCCAACACGTAAATAATATATTTTAAAAGACAGGAAAGCAATTAATTTTTTCATTAAATTAAAATGAAACGCTCATGAGGCGTGCACTTCTGTATTTTCCACTCTTGGGGGCGAGTTTTTTTATTCTTAAATATTTAATAATAAAGCCTATTTAATAAAGAAGAATCATTGAAATCGGTTCACAATATGCAAAGACATCGCGTAACATACGTATAAAAAAGATACACTGGACTTGAGAACCTCCTTCTTTTTGAAGACGGTTAAAAATCCGTAAAATTTGTTATTTTTATGTGTATTATTCGTGTTAATATAAGAAATCGGTATAGTTTGCTTTAGAGGTCATAGTAGCCGGATATGCCAAACTTCTACCGGCTAAAACTCCATGGTGGTCACCATCGGGGTAGACGAGGGGTCCCTGGATCGCCATTCAAAAAGCAACCAACTCCCACCATCGCTCTGGTTTGATAGCAGCACGACCCGGGGCAGTACTTGCTGCGCCCAGCATCCTCGTAATGCTAACACGACGTCCCAAGTCGATAGCTTATGTAAAGAAAATTTACCCCCAGACCCTCGTAAGATTATGTATCTTACGAGGGTCTGGGGGTAAATTTAATAAAATAATATAATAAAATAGCTTATTCTTTGTTTCAGAACCACAATGAGAGTAAGCGCGCTTGTCTTACTCTCAGCACTCGCTGCGGTGTCGTCAGTGTCGGGATACAACATTCTGTGTATGTTCCCGATACCATCACGGAGTCACTCGCTCTTGGCTAAAGGCATTGTCAATGTCCTCTTGGAGGCTGGCCACCAGGTAATTTAGTTTAATATAAGTTCTGTTTCCTTTTGTAGATTCCATTGTTTTGCTCGATTGGAAGCTTTAGTGAGGCCCACATACACATATAATTATTTAATATATAGAATATATACACATATACGACTAAGGGTGACTAACGAGCACAGTCCACCTGATGGTGAGTGGATGCTGTGGCCCATAGACATCTACATTTATCCTCGATTGAGAACCAAAATGCACATGCGTTGCCACCCCTGAGGACTAAGGAATGCCTCGCTTCCTGTAAAAAGACGCTCCGGTTCTCTACACTCACCATACGAAACAGCAGCATTGAGCTGCTATTTTGTGAGAGGGTGGTCCTTCTCCGATCGACCCATTCATGCTACAACCATAATATAGCTACAGCATGACTCTACCACATAATAAAAGGGAGCGTTTCCCTATAGCAAAATTCTATCCGAAATTAATCTACAGAAATAACTATTGAAGTAAATCTTCTTTTATTCTAACATGCTCTGCTGAGCTCTTTACAGTTAATTGCAATTTTTAGTGCTGATTTACCGAAATAAAAATATTCTAGAACATATGAAGTCCGCCAACACGTTCTGAGTAAGCACAGGCAATTCTTCCCTGTTCCAAAACTTTCAGAAAGCGCTGGGCAGTGCGACAATATAGGTTTTATTTGACTTTTCAGGTTACATGGGTTACGCCGTTTCCAGAGAAGTCATCGCATAAAAATTTGAAGCAAATAGAAGTGAGCACTACTCGCGATCTTGTTGCTTGTAAGTTACTTACTTTAAAATTAAAGTGACCTAATTTGGACGGCAGTTATATATAATAACTCATGCCTGCACTGATTAATGTATGACAATCTGTCCCGACCTGGTCGGGGTTATAGGATGGGTAACGCAGTTGTGAAAAATCGTATCGGTGAATCGCAGTCGTCGCAACGTGGTTCGTGTGCACCGTGAGCACGGGCGTGTTGTTGAACAAAATGAGCACTGCTTTTCCCAATTCGCCACTTCTTTTTTGATAACTGGTGATCTCTTCGTTTAGTTGTTCTAATAATTTACTCCAGACCAAATTTCAGTCACGGCGGCCAGTCTCAACGTAGACTAGCCAACGGCGCAGAACAGGATTATAGTGCACAAGTGTATGCGCAAGCACAGGTGTACTCTCTATTCCCTCACTCTCATAGTCCGATGGTACGGTAAACTGATACGACCGGAGAGAGATCAGGCACAGGACCAACGGCTTTACGTGCTTTCCGAGGCACGGGGGTGAGACACGACCAACTTCCTGACTCCGCGCAGCTACTGAGAATTTCTTGATGGAAAAACTCAATAACTGATTTGTTTGGCCCGACCCGGGACCTCATGATCAGCAGTCGCACTGCTACAACCACTAGACCAACGAGGTAGTTTGTTGTTCTAGTAAGGAAGCATAGTAAGGCCCTTTATGGTAGCGCCACGTTCCTTAAGCCGCGTATCGATTACGCGCTCCTGGCGCGCGCGCCATGAAAGTTTCACTTCAAAAAGACACCACAAGAGGAAGGAAGAGATATAGGGCGCCAGTTATGGAGGAGTTACTACGTAAAAACTGTCCAAAGTAAAAACCTCTGAGGAAACTTACAAATTAACATTACAATGTGGGATTTCATTTATTTACATATGGAATAGTGATGTGAGATAGTGGTAACGCCATTTAACAATTTAATTTATAAATGTAATAAAAGTACATATCTTTAACCCCCCCCCCCCCCCCTTTTCCCTAATCTTTTCTATATGCACGTACAGCCGTTGAAGGCGACGCAAGCGCCACGCAGCGGCAGTTAGTTGCAATTGATAACGGCGCTCGCACGAGGCACTCTTTAATATTAATTATTAGCACTGGACATTGAGTTCTAGTAATTTTGCGAATGTGATGCGCCCTTCCGTGATTACTATAAGTCAAGAAAACAGGAGTGTGTTATATCCTGGAGCAGATCTAAGAGTGCGTGCGGCATTACTCCAGGAGGAAGGCGAGGCAGTCCCTCACAAGATTGTTGCGTGCATTCCACTCTCATCCACTTTCCTCGCTCTGCTTGTTGTATGTACCAATACAGTCCACGACTTTACCGAAGAAACTCGCGTTACTGGCGCGACCAGATAGTATGTCGTGTAGTGGCCGTCAAAAAGTTAATAGATCAATGTGTCGCTGTGGAGGCGTAAGAAATTGGACAAACTAATATTTTTTTTTTTTTATAATAAACTAGTGATCCACCCCAGCCTCGCAAGGTATCTGTATCATATCTGTATCTCGACAACAGCGTCATTTACAGGTCCAAATGTGAATCTAAACCATCCAGAGAGCCAATTAAAACAAATGTAATAATACAAAAAAAAATCATCAAAATCGGTCGAGCCCTTTTTGTTTTAGCGAGACTAACAGACAGCTATTGATTTTCATATGTAGACAAGCAGCATTTCCAGTACTTACAGTCTGTTATCTAATGTTTAATTATGTAATGTAACAATTAATAACACTACTTTCAAATATATATTTTTTTATTTATTATTTTTTCCTCATGCCAATAAACATAATTTTGTTTGTCTTAGCACTGCACAGTTTGCTCTTACATATTATTTTACTTAAACTAAGTATAAATTACTATGTAACAGAATATTTAAACATTATTGGTATTTACATTTTTTACATCAAATTTATAATATTCCTTATACCTACAATCCTTAATCTACTTTAGACTAAAATAAAAAATTATATGATAAAATAAAAATTAAAAATCATTTATAAGATGGCAACTATTTAACAGTAAGCTATTTAAAAAAAAAAACCTCCATTTAAACAGTACCAGGGCAAGAAAATATGGTTTCCGCGGGGACAACACAAATTTAAATAAACTTGGAAAGTAAAATGTTATCTAAATACAAAACTTAGTCCTTTGATCACTTTTTTGTAATAATATAAATGTGAAAAATAGGTTATTTTATAAAAATTAAAAATAATTACATTATATATTTAAACTTACTATAAAAATATATTTTTTATATATGTATTACAACTGCCTAGCTAAGACCTGTTCAGGGCACTAACCTTAATACAGTGCAACCTCGATATAACAAATTGGAAGGGAACAAGTAAATATTTGTTGTATCAAGTAATTCGGTGAAATGAGGTTTGTTATGTTGAGGTTAGGTTGGTCTAAAATTCGTTATAAAGAGGTAAAAAAAATAATAGAGATAAATGATAACACATTTTTATCAAATTACTGTATGTATTTTCTATTTAAAAACAATGATTGTTTTACGAACAAAAGCGTGTCGAAACGTGTAGCGGTATGAATCACATACTATGAGATTAAGAGTCATACTCATACATTGGTGGGAACTTTATATAAAGGTTTTGGGTTGACAAAATTCGTTAATTAGAGGTATTTATACTTGATAGTTGAAAATTCATTACAAAAAGGTTGTTCGCAAAAAATGTTCGTAATGTAAAGGGATATTTTACATTGACTCTTATGGACAATTCAAGGGTTGTTATATTGAGGTACGTTATATTAAGGTTGCACTCTATTATTAATTTTTTTATTCTAATACCACAGATTAAGTAACTACTACTATTACTAGATAACTTATACTAAATTATGCATTAAAAATCTAAATGGAAAGAAGTAAAATTAAACACAGTACAACCTTGATATAACAAATCGGAAGGGGATTAGAAAATATTTGTTATACCATGTAATTTGTTACATTGAGGTTTATTTTGTTGTTTGTTCATAGATAACACTACTAGATGTAGACCGTATTTCAAACAACTAAATATTCTTACCTTACCCTGTATGTACATTTATGATCTATGCCTGTTTGTCCACAAAAATGATAATATTTTCAAGAAGATTAAAGATACACATAACATAAATACATGTAACAAATTAAAATTATACCTACCACAGTCGCAAACAAAAATGTTAAATACCAGCCCCTACTATGTAGCAATAAAAGTTTATAATAAATTACCACAGGAAATAAAAACATATCAGAATTAACCAAATTTCAATCAAGACTCAGTAAATATTTAAAACAAAACCCCTTCTACTCAGTGAAGGAGTAATTAGATAAAAATAACACTATTATGTATTTTTATATTTATCTAGCTTCTAAGTACATTTTATATTTTATGTATATAAGCAGTCCTCATCAAATTTGCAGTGCCTGAAAAGGGTGTCTAAGTTGTAAGCACATTTTTAATTTAATACCAATTATGTACACTTGGATTGCAAATAAATTATTTGATTTGATTATATAGGGGTTAGGTTGGTCTTAAAACACAATGTAAAGAATGCCTTACAACACTAAACATTAATTTATTTTGACAGTTTAAGTTCCTGGATTGTCTTACAATAAATTGAACATATCTGAAACTGTTGAAACATTAATTCTTGTTAGATGGATTGGTAGAATACTTTATGCAGAGGTTAATACTTTCTATTTATGTTTTGCAATGATTGCAAAACTGTTATAAAGAGGTTTTTTACAAAAGTTATTTGTAATGTAAAGTTTTATTTTATATAAATCTTATGATCCAGTTATAGGGGATTTCTAAGAGGTTTGTTATATTAAGGATATACTGTATTAATTATCTAAGGCCACTATAAGTGTAGGTGCGGAACAAGAGAATCCAGTACCCCATATAATCCCATAGGTGTGGTAAGAGGTGACCAAAGGAAACTGGAACAGGAGATGGGCAGCAGCATCTTTCTGATAACAGCCCAAATTAATAAAAAAAAGAGTTACCAATTCGGAGTTCTATTTCCAGCAGTGGGCTTTTGCTAGGCTGTAATATTAAATATCTTCCGAGTTCTGAAGAGTTAGTAAGCCTTGGTATTCCATTTCTTTGTACATTATATCTTGATTTAAGGTGTGTAAAATATCTTGGAACCTTTGTCTTAACGCCAAATTCTCCATACCTGCAATTTCATGTTGAGTTCTTTGCCGGCGTTGCTTTAACTCGTCCAGTTCTGTTTTTAATTGCTCTATTCTGAATTGCATATTATCTTTAGACATATCCCGTGATTGGTAATCGCCATCTTCTTCTGAAGACACACCTCCACTTTTAGATGCGACAGACACTGCAGGAGTAGTAGCGCGACTGTGGCTCGCTGACCTCTTAGAGCTTTGTCCCCCTTGGAACATTCGTGACTCAAACTGAATTGGCAAATCTCTCTTTGAATGCATGTCTCCTATACCATGCATTGAATTTGTATCAGATAAACGACTATCATATGGAGATAATCGGCTATCTTCCATCTCAACATTAATATTATCATCATCACTGTCACTTACAGCTCCTCCAAATATATCAACAACATTAGACGATTCGGGATTAGTAGCATCAGATGTTATGGATTCTCGTTTAGAAATTCGCTCAACTTTTGTTTTGCGTTCAGGTTTAGACTGTGCAGATGAAACAGCTTCAGGCTTAGGATGGTCGTCTTCCTCTTTGATTACATCCCACGTCACACTAACAGCTTCATTATCTGCGCGAAGGAGTCTTTTCACTTCCTTTTCTATTTCTGGAGCTTCCACATACTTTTTCTTCAAAGTTTTTCGGAAACGTCGTTTACGCACATTCTTTGTAGGTGGAGTAATACCATGGGGCCACAAAAACTTTTTATCCACTTTATGGGGGTCTTTTTTCTTATTTTTTGCTGGAGACTCTTCTTCTATGCAAGGGGTATCAGGTTCATATTTACATATCATCATTTGACAAATATCTGCAGTCTTATAGAAACTTTTGTTATCAATT